TCCAAAATGTGAACTTAATTTTAAAGCAACGGCCCAAAATCCAATTAACTATAAGTATGGTCCACGAGCTGTTGCCATGGGAGACTTCAACAACGATACCTTGCTAGATATTGTTGTTGCCAATTATGCTGCTGACAATATAGCTATATATTTTGGACATGGCAATGGCACTGTGGCAAGCCCAGTCATGTTTTCAACTGGTTATGGCTCTGCTCCGTACACGATTGCTGTTGATGATTTCGACAACGATCATCGACCTGATGTCGTCGTCGCCAATTTCGGTACAAATACCATCGGTGTACTCCTCAGATTCCAAAATGGGTCTTTTGCAAACAAAACAGTTCTATCAACTGAATCATCTCGTCCTGTTTGGATCCATGTAGCAGATCTTAACAATGATACAGCACTAGATATTGTCACTGCTAATTACGGCACACACAGTGTTAGCATATTTTATGGATATGGAAATGCAAGCTTTTCAAACTCAAGCACGTACTCTACAGGCTACGATTCTTTTCCGTTAGCGGTTGTTAGTGGCGATTTCAACAATGACAAAAGGATGGATCTTGCTATCGCCAATTATGGTACCAATAATGTTGGTATCATGCTTGGGGCTAGTAACGGCACTTTCGCAAGGACAAGCACGTTCTCAACTGGTCTTAATTCCCATCCTTACTCGATTGTCGTTGGTTACTTAAATGAAGACGCCATGCTAGATATTGCCGTTACCAATCATGGAAATAACAGTGTGGGTATACTTCTTGGGAATGACAAGGGAACTTTTATAAGACAAACGACATATTCGCTCGGCGCTGCTTCTCCATATTGTATTGACATTGGTGACTTCAACAACGACAATCAAATGGATTTAGTCATCACCAATAATGGCACTGACAATATAGCTCTACTTGTCGGGCATGGCAACGGTACTTTTGCAAGCCCAAAACTGTATCCAACTGGATCTTCTTCATCAATCTCCATTGCTATAGGTGATTTAAACAGCGACAATCGTTCAGACATTGCCTTCATCAACAATGATACGAGCACCATAGGCATCATGCTTGGCTATGATGAATTTTTTCCTATTCAAATGACATATGCAACTGACCGTGCACCGTGCTCAGTAGCTGTTGGTGATTTTAACCATGACACCCGATTAGATATTGTAGTTGCTAATAGGGATAGCAACACTGTCGATATTCTGCTCGGATATCGCAATGGCTCTTTTGCAAATCAAACGACATATTCAACTGGCTCTTTGCCATTCTCTGGAGCTGTTGGTGATTTTAACAACGACACTCTATTGGATATTGTCGTTGCTAATAATCGTGACCAGACTGTAAGTATCCTTCTCGGATATGGTGATGGCTCCTTTGCAAATCAAACGACATTTTCAACTGGCTCTCAGTCAGCCTCTGTAGCTGTTGGTAATTTTAACAGCGACACCCATCTGGATATCGTCGTCGCTAATGCTGGTGACAATACTGTCAGTGTACTTCTCGGATATGGTGATGGCTCTTTTGCAAATCAAACAACATTTTCAACTGGCTCTCTGCCAATCTCTGTAGCTGTTGGTGATTTTAACAACGACACCCAACTGGATATCGTCGTTGCTAATTTTGGTGGCAACACTGTAAGTGTACTTCTAAGATATAGCAATGGCTCTTTTGCAAATCAAACGACATATTCAACTGGCTCTGCCCCACGAGCTGTAGTTGTTGGCGATTTTAATAATGACAGCCAACTAGATATCGCCGTTGCTAATCGGGATGACAACACTGTAAGTGTCCTTCTTGGATATGGAAATGGCTCTTTTGCAGATCAAACGACATATTCAACTGGCTCTAGACCATTGTCTGTAGCTGTTGGTGATTTTAACAACGACACCCAACTGGATATCGTCGTTGCTAATTTTGGTGGCAACACTGTAAGTGTACTTCTAGGATATAGCAATGGCTCTTTTGCAAATCAAATGACATATTCAACTGACTCTGGCCCAATTGCTGTAGCTGTTGATGATTTTAACAACGACACGCGACCGGATATTGTCATCGCTAATTTTAATGACAAAACTGTAGGTGTACTACTTCGGTATGACAGAGGAGCTCTGGAAGATAAAATCACATTTGCCCCTACCTATGGTTCTCGTTTGCGAAACTTTGCCCTTTTTGATTTCAATAACGATAGTCTATTGGATATCGCTGTTGTCAATTATGGTACTAATAACATAGGTGTCCTTCTTGGATATGGGAATGGCACGTTTGGAAATCAAATGGTGCTCTCAACAGGCTTAAATTCTCATCCTCACTCCATCACTATCCATGATTTCAATAGAGACGGTCAAGCAGATATAGCCGTGACCAATTATGGTACTAAAAATCTTGTTACGTTTCTGGGAAGTGGAAATGGAACATTTGAAAATCAAGGACGTTACGGTATAAATTTTGATTTTGCTCCACTGATGATTGATGCTGGTAGTTTCAACAAAGATGGGCGTTCAGAAATTTTCGTTGCATATGATGCCATCGATTATGTGGATGTGCTTGTTACATACGACATCGGATCTTTCGCTGATGACGTTAAACATTCAACTGGAGATGGGCCCAGATCTGTAGCTCTTGGCGATTTTAATAACGACACCCATCTGGATATCGTCGTCGCTAATCAAGGACTCGACACTGTAAGTATCCTTCTCGGATATGGAAATAGTTCTTTCACTAATCAAACGACATATTCAACTGGCTCTCAGCCATGGTCTGTAGCTGTTGGTGACTTCAACAACGACACTCTGTTGGATATCGTCGTCACTAATTATGGTAACAACACTGTAAGTATCCTTCTTGGATATGGCGATGGCTCGTTTGCAAATCAAACGACATATTCAACTGGCTCTGCCCCAAGGTCTGTAGCTGTTGGTGATTTTAACAACGACACCCAACTGGATATCGTCGTCACTAATCGAGCAGACAACACTGTAAGCATCCTTCTTGGATACGGCAATGGCTCTTTTGCAAATCAGACGACATATTCAACTGGCTCTGCCTCATGGCCTACAGCTGTTGCTGATTTTAACAACGATACCAGACTGGATATCGTCGTCGCTAATTGGGGTGACAACACTGTAAGCATCCTTCTTGGATATGGCAATGGCTCTTTTGCAAATCAAATGACATATTCAACTGGTGCTGCACCAGGGTCTGTAGCTGTAAGTGATTTTAACAACGACACTCTATTGGATATTGCCGTTGCTAATTATGGTGACAACACTGTAAGTATCCTTCTCGGATATGGTGATGGCTCTTTCACGAATCAAACGATATATTCAGCTGGCTTTGGACCAAGCTCTGTAGCTGTTGGTGATTTTAACAACGACAGCCTATTGGATATCGTCGTCACTAATTGGAATGACAACACTATAAGTGTCCTTCTTGGATATGGCAATGGTGTTTTTACAAATCAAATGACCTATTCAACTGGCTATAGTCCTTCATTTGTAGCCGTCGGCGATTTTAATCGTGACAACCGACTGGATATCGTCGTCTCTAATATTAATGGGAAAAGTGCCAGTATATATCTGGGACATCCTAATGAAGGTTTTCTTAAGCAAATGAGACTCATAACTGGCAATGGATCTCACCCTAAGTCATTCGCCATTGGGGATTTTAACAATGACAGTCAAACAGATATTGCAATTGTGAATTCAGGCACTAACAAAATCGGTATTTTTCTGAGATATGATAATGGTTCTTTCCCAAATCAAATGACATATTCAACTGGTTCTTCTCCATGGTCGGTAGCTGTTGGTGATTTCAACAACGATACCATACTTGATATTGTCGTCGCGAATCTTGGCAGTGACAATGTTGGTATATTTCTTGGATGGGGTAATGGTTCGTTTTCAAACCAGAAAACGTTTACGACTGGTTTAAACTCTCAACCAAACGCAGTTGCTGTTGGAGATCTCAACAACGACACCTGGGTAGACATTATTGTTGCTAATTATGGCACAAACAACATAGGTGTGTTGCTTGGTTATGGGAATGGCTCCTTCACAAGTGTCAAGTTTTTTTCAATCAGTTATGGATCTCTTCCATTCTCCGTTTCCGTTGATGATTTAGACAATGATGGAAAATTGGATTTCGTCGTCGCCAACGAAGGTGCTGACAATTTAAACATTTTTTTACAGACCTGTTAATATTGCCACTGCTATCTTAAACTTTTTTTCATTGATTCATTATTCCTAACTTCTACTTAGCGCTACTAATATTTCTTCTAACTATTTTTGTGTGTGAGTAAATGTTGAGAATTAAAATATTTTACATGAAGATAAGAAATATCAAGTGAAGCTATGACAATACGTCTAAATTTGACAAAGAATTTCGTCAGATGTATGACATGGATATGCCAAGCACACGATGACGTGTTTCGCTCTTGCTTAATGCTCTCATCATATGATTAGACAAGAGTTTCTTTTCGAGTGATATTAAGATCGTAGAAACGAGAGATAATCTACAATTTGGCTTTTATAGTTTTTTTCGAGACATAGAGGAAATTATATTTGACTGTTAAAGTGTTCCTGTGCGGCTTGGCGAATAAGGGAAAAACTGTTTGTATGGGGCATCGGTATTATTTTGTATAATCTGGTTCATTGTAGGTGTGTATAAAATTGAATTTTTAGATCATGAAGCATCCTTACGACACGTTTCGGTCTTGCTTAATGGCCACTCATCAGTTTTGTCATAACTATGATTTGCTTACAGTGATTGCTTATATATTGCTATTACGTGTTTGCGATTATTGTTTGTAGATATTGTGTTGATTAGTATATATCTAGAATATATGAAAGTATGAAATACGTCTGGTTTCAAAGTGAACATATATCAAATGAATGAAAGGAAAAGGAAAATTAACGAAACATGAACTAGAAGATGGTACCGATTCACATGATCAATGGTCAAATATTTGAGCTTAAATAATGAAAAATGTAATAAGTGGTCGTATTCGACATGTTGCACGTATTTAAGAGAAAAATAAACAGGAAGAAAAAAACAATGTTTATCTAGTAACAAGATCTAATGATAATAACTGAATATCCTCTATTGAGGACAAAACTGAGAAAGAAGCGAACAAACAGGAACAAAACACTCTTCACAATTGGGATGCCTGAAAGAAACAAATGTTAATGATTAAACCGTTCTTTCATTGTTGTACGAGCTGCTTCTGTGATTGGTTGCATCCTGGTCAACATATCTCGTGGAGGCTATCTGCGTATCAAAAGACTTTGTAAAGTACGATTTAATATTGTACCAAGAATTGGTCGTGTATTTTTGAAATGTGATCTTGGATAAACAGAACTTTTGCTATATTTGATGACATTCTTTTTTGAAATTTAATAATGGTCCATTTTCGAACGTGTAATGAAGATAAATTTGATCTTTATGTTCATAGTTTTTCGTTTTTCGAATTAATTGACCAAGACTCGAGATTTGTGTTTTGTTTTCTCTTTTTATTGGTCTGCAAAGTAACATATTACGTAGTTGTTGATAGACTTCACGGTTTAATTCAGTCCATACACTCATAGAATCATATTTAACAAAGAATTTTTTTATATGATGTTGTATAAATTTTGGTGGATAACCTTTAACTAGTAATATCATTTCTGTACGTAATCGTTCCATATCAAAATCTTCCATATTGGAACAGCTACGTGCAGCTTGCACTAATGCAGTATAAATTATATTCGCATGAATGTGTCTTGGATGATCAGATTCATAAGGTAGAATATAGGGTTCTGAAGCTGATTTATGATAAATAGATATTTTTAAATGTCCATTATTATTTTCAATCGTAACATCAAGATATTCTAATGATTGACTGATAGTAATACTAATTTTAACATTTGAATCTGTTTTAATGGTTTCATCAAGTTCTTTCAGAATATCTTCTTTGGATAAATTAGTTGTCATAAATACGTCGTCAATATATCTATAAATATTTATGATTATTAAAGTAAAAAAAAAAGTAACTAATAAATGCAAAATTAACCGTTCATAAATTTCATAATGTCTATTTTGGTGTTGAATTAATTTTTGCTCCCATTCTAACATATAAATATTTGCTAAAACCATAGTAAATGGTGAACCCATGGCACCATCTTTAATTGATTAGATGCCTTATTTGAATTTCCTGACATTCCTATAGTTTCCTGTTTATCAAGATATAGAAGGTATAGGAATTGAGTTTTTCGAGCAAAGGTTGACAAGTGACATCAATATATTTTTTGAGTAGATGTTTAAATTCAAATACTATCGAATGATCATCTGTACCAATTAATCAATATCTCCTATACCTCCTCTATATCCATCAACAAAAAAATGATACAAGCTACCGGAAATTCAAATAAGGCATCATACCCTTTAATTTGTCGATAATACTTATCTTTACAAGCAACTGAATTGGTATCTAAAACAACACATGCTAATTGAATAATAGTTTATATTTTGAGATTTCCAATTTTTCCATTTATTGAATAGTTTTTACAGAGTCGCGTTAAAGCAGCAATAGTGCCATCATGTAGTATCATTGTGTATAAATCAGCAACATGAAAAGTTATAGATAATGTTGTTCAGGTGAGATCTATACTGTTGATGAATGTAATATCTTGTGTCACATGATTATAAATTGGAGTAAGAAGTTGATCAAGAAAACTGAATATTTGTCTAGCAGGTGCATTAATTGAAGCAAGAATAGGTCAAACTGATAGTTCAGACCACAAGAAACGTATGATAGAAAACATATTTAGATAACAAACTAACGATTTTACCTTATGTACTTTAAGATTGAAATAAATATGAGCAAATTCTAATGTATTTAGATTTGTATATATTTGTTAATATTGATCTTTCATTATTTTTTTACGCTTTAATAGATCATCAAGTAAAGTTAACACAGAATGTAAATAATCTGCTAATGGATAAACGCTACTGGTGATTTCTTGATATGCGTTTGTTTTTGTCATATAACTTTTAATGTTTTCTTCATATTTATGTGGATCAATAAAAAAAAAATAATTTGCTTTTATCAGTTTGTCAGACAGCAATATTAGCTTTGCATAATTGTCGTTGTATTGATTTTATCATCTTGTACATATATCGAGCATGTCTTTCAAAGTTTTTTGGTATTGGTTTCGTATATAGCTGTTGAAGTAAATTTTTTATTACAGCAAAATATTCAATAGCAAGTGCATCACGCATTGAAAACATGTAATCAGTAAGATTTTTAACATTTTCATTATAGAGGCGATTGTATGCTCGTTCAATAATTTTTTCCATAGGTTGTCGATAAAAGAAATGCCTTTGGCAGGGTGGAATAAATTTCAAACCTTTATTAATGACCCATGTAAATATTTTTTGAATCAAAACGTGTTCGAATTGATATTTCAACTTTAAAAAATGTATTACAATCCGTCTTAAGTTTGATCTGCTTCGCCATCAATATTGTCTAGTGATGATCTTTACCTAACTACAGACCAACGGAAAGTTTATATTTTAATGTTTCTAAAATGATAGAAATGAGATTAGAACAAGTAAACTAGCGAGTAGAAAGCAAGTGTACATACACCATTGAGCCCCATGTGATCACATTAGTTGTAGAGCGAAACAGAATCTATATATGCATCGTCTATTATAAACTTATTCATAGATACATATGCCAATGAGGTGCTGTGTATAAAAATATACTCATTTATCCAAAAAAAGAGTTTGCATTAGATAAATCCAACTACATAATTTTAAAAATATCTAATTATGGAAACTATTCGTTTTGGAAAAAAATTTGGTTATATTATTTCTAAAATTTCATTATTTTCAATTTTAGAGTACGAATGTTTTAGGATTAAAAAATATATACATTCTGTCTTTCTTGAGAAAAAGAACTCTAAACTTTTTGAGAACTCTATATACTTCAAACTAAATTAATTTTATAAAAAAACTGTGATATATTTTCTAGTGAATAGAAAACGAATCTTTTATATATTTTTTCCTATAAACGAGTTGCACAATCGCGTTTCGTTTGTATGTTGATCGAAGCAATGGAATGCGTCTAGGCGCGGTTGCAAGTAAAACTGCGTCTAGACACAAGAAATATTTCACTGGAGACGCGATTCCAAACCAAAGCACGTTAAGATGCGCTTGAAGTCTTAGTCCAGTTGTGTTTAGATGCGGTCTGTGCAAAATCGCGTGCAGACTTGGTCTTTATTGTCTTTTTATTGAGTCCAGACGCGTTTCACAAGAAAAGCGCGTTTAAGCGCACAATTTCCGCGTTTAGTGTTGGCATAGGAATAAGCAATTGTTCACTCGATAATGTTATAATAGTGTTGGCAAAATATAAACAAAGAAACATATACGTATGGTTTTGAATATTTAATTTTCATTTGCTCCGACGCCATCATTGTTCGTTGTATCGTCCTGGGACGCCGGAGCTTCGTCGAAAAAAGATTTCAATTTTTGTTGTTTAATATAATCAGGTCGTTCGATCATATGTTTTTCACGTGCTTCAATAACTACCATTAGTTGTTTGAATGTATCTGAATCTGAATTGTTTATCTTTAATTATCAGTAATAGCTACCAATTTCTTTTTCCCATTTTTCGCTATTTTATTTCAATAGCGTACTTTTTCTTCACCGGC